CCCCAAAACCCCAAAACCCCAAAACCCCAAAACCCCAAAACCCCAAAACCCCTTTCACAAGTTATTTATTTGAACTTAAAATTTCTGCTTGTTATACTTTGACTGGAGAATGAGGAGAGAATTCATCAAAGAATTCGTCATATGAGATCTTTCCATCCTTGTCCTTGTCGAATCTGTCGACTATGATGTCAATCTCCTCATTGGTGGCGTAGAACCCGTACTTTTCGAACATTTCCTTAAAGTCTTTGCCTGTAAGGTAGTCATCTCCCCACTTGTTGAGTGTTGAAAAGGCTGAGTCATATCTGAAATATGGACTCTCTTCGTGTCTTTGTCTCAATGCTTCAGCATGGACCTCAACTTCTAGGTGTAGTTGTAGTACTCTAGTGAAGGCATCAATCGTAGTTGCGTTGAATTCATCTCTTCTTCTGTAGTACCCATTAGGGAACTCCTCAGATCTACTCTTCAGAATATCAGCTGTGCCTTGGTGAAGGGGCATGAAGGCATCACAAAATTCATCAAAAGTGAGCTTATTGTTCTTATTAATATCATATCTGGATAAGAAAAGTCTAGCTTCTTCAACTGTAGGGAAAATTCTAAATAGGTTAAATGCTTCAATGATATCATTTATATCAGCTTGGTCTCTATCTCTACCATCAAAAACTTTGAAGGCATCATGCAGAGTGAAATCAGTCTTAAGTGCTAAAGACTGTTTAGCTCTTTCAAGGTCCTTATCAAGAGCCACCAGCTCTCTTAGAGATTCTACAAAAAGGTCTTCTTCAGAGGAACCAAGAGTGTGAAAAGTCTTAGCAGTTTTCTTGGCTGAAGAGTTTCTATCCTCCTTTGGTTCTATCTTCTTTTCCTCAACAAGTTCTTGGGCTACATCATATTTGTCTCTCAATGCCTTCTTAGCAGGGGAGTATCCAGAATGAGTCACAATCCTTCTGGAAGGAGATGCTGAAAGTCTGTTCCTTATCCCGTCATAGAGGGAATATCTCCATGGATTTCTAGCCGACAGCCTCTTGCGGCTGTCTGATCTTGAATAATTCAGTAAGCTCTGGGAAAGTGTTCTAAAGTTAGTTCTTGGCCTCCTGTTGAGAGTGTCAACTTCTTCTCTTTCGAGACTATCGTCATCGTCTATGCGGTCGTATTTCCTTCTGTTCAGAGAAATTCTTTTAGTAGTAGAAGCTGGCCTTCTCTTGACAAAGCTGTCTAGGATGGAGTACCTATAGTCCCTATTATAGTAAGGGTCATAGATAACATCACTGTTGTAGAACTTGGGGTTTCTCAGATAAGTCCTATACGAATTATTCAAGTTCTTCCATGATAGACGATCAGGTGAGTGGTATCTGGAATATTCATAAGGATAGCCGTATCTACTCCTATACCTTTGAGAGTAACTGTAGTCAGGCATGTGATTTCTGTATGAGGATCTCCATTCTGGGTCTCTCTCACGATAGGTAGAGAAAAGCCCTTTCCATGATAATCTCTTAGTAGGAGATCCTTTTAAAGTTGAAGATCTTTTAAACGAGCTCGCGAACTTTTTAATAACCGGATTTACTTGAGTTCGCTCAACAACATCAGCAAACTCTTGTACACTGATCTGCTCATCATCGTCTGTATCACACCTCCTGATGATAGCATCGAGGTCGTCCTCCGAGAGGATGGTATAGTATTCTCCAACAAAGTCTCTGATTTCATTTCTGTCAATGGAGTCGTAAGGGTATGCTTTATCAATCACATCAAAACACTTAGTTGCTGAAAAGTCATATCTATTGTTCAGCTCGGTTTTAATAGTCTCGATAGCTCTTTGGTAATCTATTTCTGTCTTAATCAACTTTGCTAAGGAGTTCTCAATAGGGTCAGAGAGATAAGCAGATTGGATGTATCTGTATTCAGTTTCTCTGCTCTTTGCGAGAGCTCTTAGGTTATCATTAGTAGAAGGCAGGATCAACTGTCAGAACTCAGTATAGCTCAGTCTCCCATTGCCATTCTCGTCATACTGATCAATAAGCCTTGCTGCGTCACCAAGGGTACATTTAATAGCATTGTCTTCACAAAATAATTTGATGTCCTCAGCATCTAGTTCTCCTATATTTTCCACATCAATTCTGTTGAAACCTACAACAGATTCAAAACTATATTGCTCTGCTAGATCTAGTCTTGCGTTCTCCACCTATAAAAAATGAGCTGGGAGGGTTACATTTAGTTCATGCTCTGCTATGTTCAGGAACAGCTCTGCCAAGATCTTCCTTGTCTCGTTAGATATGCTCATTTTATTCTGTAGAAATAAAAATTTATTTTATCGCAAAATTATAGAGCCCAATTAAAATCCTCAATGAAGGGGTTTTGGGGTTTTGGGGTTTTGGGGTTTTGGGG